CCCAAGAAGAAGTCCTCATCCCTTTAGCAGAAACTCCCGTTTCTCCCCAAACACCGCCACCCCCTGCCAACCAGACAGTCAGAGTGTGCACCTGACATAGTAGCCACCGTGTCTGAGCCACATACTGGGCCTAGGTAAGAGCTAAAAACTGTTGGAACGTATCATGTTCCAGGTACTTTTCTAAATACTTCTAGTATGTTAATTCATTTAATTCTTGCAACAAATTTATGAGGCAGGTGCTCCTTATCTCCTGTTTTACAGAGAATAAACTTACCTCCCATTCTCCACCTCCCATAACGTGGCTTCTGCTAAAGAATTAAAGAAGAAAATAAAAGAATTAGTCAAAGAAAAAAAAGAGTGGGGGCTGAAGGCCAGAGAGAGAGAGAGAGAGAGAGAGAGAGAGAGAGCGCAGTGTAAAATCCAGTGGGTTAGGGGCGGGTGTGGAGTGGAGGGGGTCAATGAGGGAAAAAAAGGGAGCACCGGTAACACTTTCAACAATAAAGATAAATTTTTCAAAATCCGGTAGGTACTCCTTTGATATCATTTTCCTTCAGTGTGAAGTTTCCTTTAGCATTTCTCGTAGAAGAGTCTGCTTGTGATGAACTCTCTTCGTTTTCTTTCAGTTGTTTCTTAAAATCTCTTTATCTTGCCTTCATTCCTGAAACATGTTTTTACTGGATATAGAATTTTGTGTTGGCAGTGTTTTTGTTTTTTGTTTTTAATTTGAAGAATTTAAAGGTGTTGTACTTCTACTCTGGTTCCTTTGTTTCTGACGAGACATTAACCATCAATCACATTATTTTAAGCCTGTATGTAGGGGGTCCTTTTTCTGTTGCTTTTACAACTTGCTCCTTGTCTTTGGTTTTTGATAATTTGACTATGATGTGCCTTGACATGGTCTTATTTGCTGGGGTCCAGCCCCAGCGGGTCCAGGGGTCCCCAAAGGTGTGGACGGAGTTGGCGAAGAAGGAATGACACAGAGGCAGCGTTCAGGTGATCATCATAGCCGGGTTGTCTTGTCAGGGTCTCTAGCCAAGTTCTGTTCAGGATCTCCACTGAAGTTCTGGTTCGGATCTCCAGCCAGGTTCTGTGTCCATGTTCTCTTGCTAGGTTCTCCAGGTTCTCCAGCCAGGTTCTGTAGCCATGTTCCCTTGCTAGGTTCTCCAGCCAGGTTCTGTCCAGGTTCTCCAGCCAGGTTCAGTCACCAGGTTCTAGTCAGGTTCTCGTGCCAATTTCTGTAGTCAGGTTCAGTCCAGGATCTTTTGCCATGTTCTCTCCAGCGAAGTTCTTCTGTCTCTAGGTTCTGTGTAGGTTCTGTCTTCTAAGTTCTGTCTCTTGCTGTCTTGTTACATCTGTATTTATACCAGTTGATTCAATCCTATCAATCTCTATTACAAAGGTTAGGGTGTTTCTTATCTCCATTCCAGGGAGTATAGATTATGTAGCTTAAGGATGATTGTTCATAGTTAAAGTGATTAATTACCCGCCTGGCACTTAGTTGAGGGGTTTTATTCCCTCCCTAACTTCAGGGGAAAATCCCTACCTGGGGAAACAACCTTTCTCAGAGAGGAGACCTTGGTTAAAACACATAGGGCCAAGAAGGTGAGCAAACATTTTAAGAACAGTATGCCATATATGCCAGGTCCTTTGAAACAGCAAGGATGGACCGGCTCCCGGCACTTATTCATGTTTATCTTGCTTGGTGTTTGTTGAGCATCTTGAATATGTAACTTTATTTCATTAGACATTTCTAAATTCTAGGCATTATTTCTTCAAATAATTTTTCTGCCTCATTTTCTCTTCTCTTTTTTTTGTTACTAAAATTACATGTATGTTAGACAGTTTGATATCACCTACTAGGTCCCTGAGGTCTGTTCACATTTTTCATCTTCTTCCTTTCTACTCTTCATTAATATTTTCTTTCTTATGTCCATTTTGTTATTACCCAATAAATTTTCATTCCAGGTAATGTAGTTCTGTTTCTGCAGATTCCATTTGGTTCTTCTCTGTGATTTCCATTGTTCTGCTTGTCTGTCCTGTCCTTCCATTCGTCACACGAATACGTTGTTTTACGTCACTGAGGATAGGAATACTGGCCACTACTTCCAGACTCCGAGGTACCTCAAGGTTTGTCTCAGTTGATTTTCTTTTCTCCTGAAAATATGCTTTATTTTTGTGGTTCTTGCAAACATTGGGTGATTTTGTGATTGTATCCTGAACATTATGAATGTAATTTTTTGAAAGTCTGGATTCTGTCTCTCTTTTTTTTTTTTCTGATGACAGTTTCTTTTGTTTTATGAGACAATTATTTTAGTTGGATTTGAACTGAAAAATCTGTTCTTTGGACAGCAGATCTGAATCAGTCCAGACTTTTTAAAAATAAACTTCTATTTAGAGTAGTATTAGCTTTAGAGAAAAATTACGAAGATAGTACAGGGAGTTCTCATTATACTCCATACCCAGGTTCCTTATTTTGACATATTATTATACTAGATTTTTATAACTAATATCAGTGTTGACAATTTTTATTAACTAAAATCCAAACTTTTCTCAGATTTCCTCTGTTTGTGCAAAATGTCCTCTTTCGCTTCTGGGATCCCATCTGGAAGAGCACATTGCCTTTAGTCACGACCTTAGGTCTCCTCCGGCCACCCTGGGTGGCGCAGCGGTTCAGGCTCACCTTGTGCGCGGGAGGGGCGGGTCAGGAATTCTCAGACTGTCCCTCATGTGGGCTTCGCGTCATGCTTTTCTCAAGATCAGACAGGGGTGCGTGTTTCTGAGAGGAAGGCCGCGGAGATGCAATGCTCTTCCCACAGCGGCGTATCCAGGTGCACATCGTCAGAGCGAGCCTCACTGTGGACGCTGACCTCGATGTCCTCACTGAAGTCCTTGCCTCCTGTGATGTTCTTCTCGCTCATCTGCCCACACGGCGCCCTTGGGGAGCAGGGCTCTGTGCCACCCCCTTGCGCGGTGGGGTCACCCCCCATCCTCGAGCAGACCTTGTCTTCTGCCAGGAGACGCGGCGTGTGTTCTGCACCTCTGGTTCCGCCGTCAGCCAGACACGGTCGACAGAGGGTGACGTTCCCTCTCTGACTCCTGTCCCTCTGAGACGCCCCTCGCGCTTCTCAGGGGCAGTTTTTCTCAGATTCGGCCTTTCGCTCCTTCCAGCCGGAAAGATGGGTTTTGCCGCCGGTGCGCCTGGCCGCGTGCCGCGTGCTTTGTGCTTTGAAAATGTGCTGCTCCTGGCACGTCCTCCCCACCAGAACTTCCCTCTCTGTTCGTGTTCTGGGCCCTTTGTCTGAGGTGCTGGCACCGGCGCTGCGTCCTCAGGAGCTGACCAGTGGCGGCTGGTGGTCACCCAGGCAGAGCCCTGCTCTCCGCTCTGCACCGCGATGCCGGGTGCGGGGTCTGAACTGGGCTTCCGACCAGAAAGAACGTAGGGACCGTCAGGAATTAAGATTATGTCAGACATTCGAAAAGGATAATATCTGACAGCACAGTCAAGCACTGAGCTGTTGACATAACTAACGGATTCTTAACGTGGTAGCAGCTGAGAATGACCGGACCTTGTAACCACCAGGCGAGGTGGAATCGTGCGTGCGGCGCCGCTTACCGTTGGGCCGTGGTTCCGAATCTGCAGTGTGACCCCAGGGGGTGACCCTGTAATGCCCTCCTGGTGGTGGAGGGAGCCGTGGTGTTCACGGTGCCTGTTCCCAGAGCTGCACCGGAAACCACGCGCCGGGCTGTCAGCGCTGCGCCCGGCTGCCACCGGGAGGGCGGGCACCTGGCCCAGTGGGGCCTGTTGCCCGTGAGCTCCACTCGCAACTCGGACCTGGGCACGCCCGATGGTTGCCACAGCCCCACCTCTGCGTAGAAAGGACTGTGCGGTCCCCCTGGCGCCGCAGCGGGCAGGGACGCTCCGTGCGGCTGCGGGGCTGTCACTGGCTCTGACGCGGGCGCTCAGCCTCCAGGGCAGACGGTGAGCGGGTCGGAAGGAGGTCACCTTGGAGCTGAAGGGGTCCGGCCCGGTGACGGAGGCGCGGCGTGAGCCAGGCCGGCGATGGGCCGGTCGTTGTCTGCGTGTGTTGTCTGGGAACATGTAGCTCCGCAGAGCACATGTGGGGCCTGGCGGAGCAACGCTGGGGACAGGTGTGTGCAGAGGAGAGGGCTGGAGTCTTCTCCCGTGAGCAGCATGAGCCTTTAAGAACGGGGGCGCTGTGGGAGGGCCTCCTTAGCAGAATGGTCTGAGGCGTCAGCGGGGAGGCCACTGCCAACATCTGGAAGGTTCCACGAGAGCCATGACAGGAGTGGACAGGACAGATGGCGTGAGGCCAGGGGGAGGAGGCGTGCAGAGGGCCCCAGGGCAGGGGGAGAAGTTCCAGCGGGGGGAGCGGGTCACTGGTTTGGAAAGAAGGGCAGACGCGGACCTCGGGGAGGAGAGCGAGCCTGGGGCTGGGCCCGCTGCGCCTGGGGCTCTCAGCCCGGCGGCTCTCCAGCCGGCGCCCAGCGGCCGCACTTCCTCCATCGCTGCGAGAGCAGGCCCCCGCGATCGCCGAGATGGCAGAGGAGCCTCAGGCTGGCAATGTCGATGAGCCTGCGGTGAAGGTGGTTTTGTCAAACCTCGTTTAGCGGAAAGTCTCAGCACCCACGGGGACCGGGGCTCCCTGAGTGCTCAGGGGGTTGAGTGTATGGAGAGGCGCCCTGGAGGGAGGGGCGACCTGGCAGCTGCCGGGCCGTCGCTGATCACCCCACGGGCTCGCTCAGCTCCAGCCACGGGGCGCTCTGCCTCGGCCCGTTCCCCGGACGACGTCGGGGAGCAGCAGGGTCGTTTGTGTCACTGACACAACACGTTTCTCCCACTGTCACCTGCAGCCCGAGGCTGTGAGCGAAGGACCAGGCTGCCACTCCCGGCGGGCGGGGCGGGCACCTGGTCGGAAACGGGCTGTGTCGTGCCAGGGCCCGAGGGATCTCACTCTCTCTCTCCCCACTTTCTCGGCCAGTGTTCGTGAGGTTCAACTCCAGCCACGGTTTCCCAGTGGAGGTGGATTCTGCCACCAGCATCTTCCAGCTCAAGGAGGAGGTTGCTAAGCGACAGGGGGTTCCAGCCGACCAGCTGCGCGTGATTTTCGCGGGGAAGGAGCTCAGGAATGACCTGGTGGTGCAGGTGAGTGGCCTGGGGGCTGGGCCGGGACGCCCCCGTGGCTGACATTCAGGGCCCGGATCTGATAGAATAGACGGCGCCTGGGGACTCCCTGAACTGGACTCCGCCACTTCATTAACTCTGACCTTAATTATGCAGCGAAGCAGCAAGAGGAAGGGCTGAAGTGGGGGAGGGGGGAAGGGGGGGACAGACCGTGAATAAATGTAGACTGAGCGGGAGCAGCAGGGCACGGTTTCCGTGTCCAATTCCTCCCTCACTTACTCCATGAGAATCCCAAGGAGGAAGGATGCGAATAAATTGCTCAGATCCACGGCTCAGGGCTGCGCAGGAGGGATTTATAACCCAGTGTGACCCCTGGAGGGCAGTGGTGCCCTGCGCCTGCCTGTGGGACTGACCCAGGGAGGGCGTCCCAGGGCCCACTCACAGCGCGTGGAGGTACCCCTCTCCAGTCCCCCCCAACTCGGGGAGCAGGCCCCTGACACGCTGGAGAGGGCTCCCCTGTCTTCTCTGGGGGCTGCACTGCTCCCGCCCCAGGGGAGCCCCGATCTCTACACCCGGGGTCACTGGGACAGTGATTTCTGTGGGAATGAGGTGGTGGCTGGTTAGAGGACTAGTGAGCCTGCAGTCCCTGTCCCTCAGCAAAGCCAGCAAATAAGGTTCAGTTGGATTGAAATGGTTCTCTGCGGGGGGTCAGGCTGCTGAGGCTCCGCAGACACCCCCTTTCTAATCTGCTCACAGAGGAGCTCACAGTGGGCTGTGGGTGGGGGCTGCTGTCACAGAGGCTGTCTGGCACCCGATGTCCCTCCGTTACAGACACCCCATCACTGTCGCCTGGGGATGATGTCAGCTGCTCTGCGGATGCTTTCAGAGTGGGGACCCCAAAGGAGGCCATAGGCATGCAGCTCGCCCCACTCCCAGGCCCCCTGCCGAGGGCGGGCTGTTCATGGTGCACAGCCTCTGTGCGGAGCTTGGAGGCAGTTGCTTTCCCTAAGAGCAAGGGGTGGCTGCGCTCAAGTGTTTTGGTACTTTTTGTCTCCGTCAACTAGAAAGCTCTTCCTGTTCCCGCCAACCTCTAAGTCCAAGAGCGTCTCCTTCACCAATAAGTGACTCCAAAAGGGCTCCTCGGACCGGGATGTTTCATGTTCCCCAGAGCTTGGGAGTTTGAGGTCCTGTGGCAAACATGTCAAACTCAGGGGCTAACACGGGCCAAATAAGCGGGGTTTACGTTGATGTGGCCGCAAAAAAAACAAGCTTCAATTTTCATAGGAACGTAGGTTTATTTCCGTACAGACATGCTGAATACAAAGGGCTGAAATAAATGAGTCATCGTTAACATAAAATAATAGAACATTTTAATAAAAATTAATATCTCTTCTTGAGCATTAACTACTAGACACTGAATAACTGCACAAATTAATAAGCGTAACGCAAATAAACCTATTTTTCTTGTTCTCTGAAAGCGAAATATTTCCTGTTATGCACACCAAACAAGTCAGTCCAAGACTAACGATGTGGCCATCGGCTGCTAGGATATTCCCTGCTGGTGTCAGTGGGGAGAAATGGTGTGCCTGCGCGTAAGGCACGTAAGGGACATGAATGCCACACGATTATAGTCATCAGTCAGCGAACGTTGTCGTTCGTTTTCAATAATTATGTATAACAGGATATTGTAAAAATTAAGTTACAAAATTTTTATTAAAATGTTTCTTACATACCATTGTATTGGCCGGGCCACGAAAATATTCACTGTGGCCGCATGCGGGCCAGGGGCCGCGAGTTTGACATGCGTGTCCTATGGCACCTCACCTCCACTTGTGGACCTGGTGGGTTAGACCCGTGGTTCTCAACCTTCTGGCCCTTTAAATACAGCTCCTCATGCTGTGACCCAACCATACAATTATTTTCATTGCTACTTCATAACTGGCATGTTGCTACTGTTATGAATCGTCATGTAAATATCTGAGATGCAGGATGGTCTTAGGCGACCCCTGCGAAAGGGTCGTTCGACCGCCAAGGGGGTCGCGACCCACAGGTTGAGAACCGCTGGGCTAGACCGATGGCTGCAACCATCTGCGTGTGGCTGTCTGTGGATTTAGTCTGTGTTCTGACAAGCACCAGGGCAGGCAGAGCCACCAGGCCTCGGAGGGAGCAGGGCTCTAAGGCAAGTGCCAGGCTGAGCCACTGGCGGGGCTCATCGTCACCGGGGCTCCCCCGTCACCGTCAGCGGGGCTCCCCCATCAGCAGGGCTCCCCCGTCATGTCAGTGGGGCTCCCCCGTCAGTGGGGCTCCCCCGTCATATCAGCGGGGCTCCCCCGTCATGTCAGCGGGGCTCCCCGTCACGTCAGCGGGGCTCCCCGTCAGCGGCCGCCTTCCCTGACCCAGTGGCGGTGCCGGGGCCGGTGACCGGCTGCCGGTGGAGGAGCAGACCCACGTCAGGACGTTGTCGGGTGGGAGCCAGGTCTCAGCGGGAGTCACACGGAAAGAGCCGCCGCTGAGCCGACGCTCGGGAGGTGCTGGGGCCGGAGAAGGAGGAGTGTGCCCTGGGCGCCGGCCGCCCCGTCCTTCCAGACCCGAGCAGAGGCTGGCCTCGGCCCGGAGGGAAAGGGCGCCGCCCCCCAGGTGTGCCGGCTGGGCCCCGAGGGCTCAGGTGAGAGAGCTAGAGCGAGGCCGGGCGGGAGGGGAGCCAGTCCGGGGCTGTGGGCGGTGAGGGGTGACGCCTGGGGACTGTCCCGCAGGCAGCGGACGGGATGGCGGGGGCTCGGGCCACTTCACTCACCCTCGGTCACATATTGCGGTCACATATTGCGGTCACATATTGTGGTCACATATTGCGGTCACATATTGCGGTCACATATTGTGGTCGGATATTGTGGTCACATATTGTGGTCACATATTGTGGTCACATTGTGGTCACATATTGTGGTCACATTATTGTGGTCACATTATTCCGGTCACACATTGTGGTCATCACATATTGCGGTCACATATTGTGGTCACATATTGTGGTCACATATTGTGGTCACATATTATGGTCACATTATTGTGGTCACATATTGTGGTCAGATATTGTGGTCACATATTGTGGTCACATTATTCCGGTCACATTATTCCGGTCACATATTGTGGTCACATTATTGTGGTCACATATTGTGGTCACATTATTCCAGTCACATATTGTGGTCACATTATTGTGGTCACATATTGTGGTTGGATGGGCTGATGCGTTTTCTTTGTAGAGTTCCTGGCTCAGCAGCGGACTCAGGCCACCGCTCCCCGCGACCTGCATAGAGGGAGAGGCTGTGGCCCTGGCACCATAGCAGCTCCCCATTTGGGAGGCTGGGAGGGGCCAGTAAAGAAGGCGCCCACCCCCACTCCCTCACCCCCCGACTCCTCTGAGGAGGTCTTAGAACAAGAAGTCACTGGTGAAGAGCGCGTGGGAAGGAGGGGGAGGAGGAAGGGCCTCTGGCTTGGTGACTGGAGTGGTGACCTCGTGCCCTGAGGACTCAGTCCTGGACGGAGGTTGGTGGCGGCCGGGCTGCGGGGCTGGACTGGGTCCGAGAGGCAGGGCGGGGTGCCCTGGGCAGCGGGCTCCTGGGTGAGAGTCCCTGGCCCCCCACACGCTGTCTCTCCTGGAGGGCGGCTGTGGGAGGACGCGCTTCCGTCGCCTGGTGTCCTTAGGACGTGCCATGAGCATGTTCCGTGTGACACAATCTTCACTTCCAAGTGCTCGGTGATGCTCCAGAGTTTATATCACGATATAACTCAGGTATGGGGGAGCGCCCGTTTTTTCATATCACGAATTAAGGCAAAACAGCTGTTTGGATGTACCTTACACGCGCGGGGAATGTGCACTCGGGGCTTCAGTTCGCTCGCTCGTAAAATAGGAATCGTACCAGTTCCTGTCCCGTTGGATTGTAAGAACTAAACTGGTTAATTCTGACAGCTCTTAGAACAGAGGACGGTATATAGTAAACACGAGAGCCGCGATGTTCAACCTTTTCCATCTCATGGCGCACATACACGAAGAACTAAAATCCCGTGGCCCATCAGAAACATTGCCAATCTGACAAAAAATAGATATAATTTCATTCATTCACATTGGACTGCGATCGTGTCGGCTGCTGTCCTGTTTTTATTTGACAATCTAAGGGAAAAGAGGTCAGTGCCCTGACTAAGGAGTCGGGTATTGCTTGTTTTAAAACTCCTTGTGGCCACTGGGCGAAAATCATCGCACTGTATACATGTTCGCATGTATTAGTATCCTCCTCCTCATCAGTAGGCAGTTACTTCAGGGTCTCAGAGATCCCCTTGAATAACACAAGACTCATTTCATCGTGGATTCTGCAATAAATTAATGAGTTCAGGCAATGATAGGGCGCGTATTTTACTGGGGAAAATATATAATGTATATTTGTGTGTGTGTGTGTGCTGGTGTGTGTATAATATTTATATGTTAACTAAAAAGAACTCTGGATTTTATAAATAAATATTTGACCCTTACGTATACAGGTTCTACTTATGTTGAGAACAGTGGAAATGGCAAGCTTACAAAGACTACAGTTCCTCTGAACAAACTTAGGAAAACAGAACCTCTAGTTGCATTGCTCAGTGGAGGCATCGTGGTCTGACCGCTTTGAAAACCAATTTTTATAACATGGAGATCTGCTCTGCTCTGCATTTATGAGAAGCAGGTCAGAAAGAGTTAAACACTTTTTCCTACTTTGGAAGCAATGCTTCTCTGTGTGTTTGTATTATTTTTCTCACACCTACAGGTATGCAATATAAAATATTAATATGACATATTGCTCACAATGGCTTGATCTTTTTTCTTTGTAAAGTGTTCTTGTTAACTCATGCAGCCGAGTATTCCGGGCCCGTTCAAATAACGCCTTCTCCAGTTCCCCAAATCTGACTCACAGCATACCAAAAGTCCCATAAATCACCTCTACATAATTTTAATTTTATGATTCAGAATTATACAAGGAAAATAAGGTTATAATGTA